TTGAAACTGTGCCTGCAGTCAACCTACTTCACATATGGGGAGCAATATTATAGGCAGAAACATGGGTGTGCTATGGGGTCTCCAGTTTCTCCTATTGTTGCCAACCTGTACATGGAGGAGGTAGAAAAGAGAGCCTTGACGTCCTTTTCAGGGACACCACCAAGTCATTGGTTCAGGTATGTTGACGACACCTGGGTTAAAATTAAATCTCAGGAAGTCCAACATTTTACTGACCACATCAACTCTGTGGATAAATACATCAAGTTCACACGAGAAGATGTAAAAAATGGCAGGTTGGCTTTCTTGGACTGTGAGGTCTCAGTCTCTGATAGAGGACATTTGCAAACTGAGGTGTACCGCAAACCCACCCACACAGACCAGTATTTGCAGTTTGACTCCCATCACCCTTTGGAGCACAAGTTAGGAGTCATCAGGACTCTGTACCACAGAGCAGACAGCGTCCCCACTAGCTCAGGAGCCAAGCAGAAGGAGAAATCCTACACAAGACAGGCTCTAGAGCAATGTGGATATCCTAACTGGGCCTTCCTGAAAGAAGAAACCCAAACAGGACTCCAGTCAGCCATCAGGTGAAAAGGAGGAACCCAGACCCAGACCAGTGGTCATTCCAGATGTTGAGGGAGTATCAGAGAAACTGAGACGTTTATTTTCTAAACATAACGTCCCAGTGGCTTTTAAACCCCAAAATACATTAAAGACTGGTTCATCCCAAAGATCCAGTCCCCCGGCACAAACAGAGTAATGTTGTGTATGTTGTTCAGTGTCAGGAGGGTGATCAGTCTTACATCGGGGAAACTAAACAGCCACTGGCCAAAAGGATGGACCAGCACAGAAGATCAACATCATCAGGCCAGGACTCTGAGGTCTACACTCATCTCCAGGTCAGAGGTCACTCTTTCAGGGATGAAGATGTTCACATCCTGGACAGAGAGGAACGATGGTTTGAGAGAGGAGTAAAGGAGGCCATCTTTGTGAAAAGAAACCGTCCATCATTAAACAGGGGTGGAGCCTCCAGGTTCAACTGTCCCCCTCTTACAATGCTGTGATTGCTAGTATCACTCAGCCCTCTGTGAACAGTAAACAGCCATCAGGTGCTAATGATCCATTGTTAGGCTGATGGTCCTTCTTGAGCATGTGATCAGCTGGTTCTGGTTGTCAGCAGCAAACTGGTTGATCCACTCTGAGAAGGTGCTATTTAAGAGACTGAGCTGAATACAGCACCTCACACTGAGGAAGTCCTCAGGATGAGAGACAAAACGTTTCTACATTTTTTTGTTGATTTGCTTTGTTTTGTTTTTTGAATGTCCAGAGGCCCAGATTTAACTTTTTTAGATTTTTCTACCTGGATTATTGAGCATGCATCAGCATGTCCATCCTTCAGTTCAGGCTTGTACTGCCATCCAGCGGTCAGAAAAGGTACTACACTCCAAACAAATCAACATTTCTTCAAAAAATTGACAATTATTGTCAAATTTCAAACAATATTATCATTTATTGCAATAATTTCTGTGACAATCGGCCAGCAAAATTTATCGTGACAGGCCTATTCGGGGCGCCTCGGTGTGAGGCGTTCAGGGGCGGCTTGGTGTTCGGGTCACAAACAGCAGATTTGATTTAAATGTTTGGAACGTGCCACCACTTGTTCCTCCGATGCAGAACAAACAGAACCCTCAGAACTGCAGGTTCTGTCAGAAACCTGCGAGGGGCGTTCAGGCGACGCTCAGCTGATCCAGGGTCAGTTTTATTTGTCACATCACAAACGTGACGGTCTGAAAACTCAGAAACAGTAAAAACCAACGTCTAGCTGCAGCTCGGGACGTCCGGTGGCCCAAGTCTGAGCCGGGGGTCCGGCGGGCCTCACGGGCCGCTAAAACTTGAACTAAGATTTTTTTTAAGTGTCCTGTTTCCTTCAACAACAACGAGAAGAACGTTTTAGAAAAAAGACAAAAGTCATTTAAACGGATGAAAACATTTAAAGCCTCAAAAACAAACTTTTAATTTGGCGGGTCTGTTTGTTTTCTTGTTTGAAAAAAAACATTTTAGTTTTTTCTCTGAAATAAAAGCATCACATTAATTAATGTTATTGATCAGCTGCATGTATTTTACTTTGAAAATGCTTCATTTATTAACTTTAGACAAGTTTTATGAATATTTATCCTGAAGTCTGGTTTTTGATAACGTTGTACCAATAATTAGAATAAATATAATAATTAAAGCCTAAAGTTAGTTTTGTATCTGATCTGTTTTTCTGTTAAACCTAAAATTTAAATCATTAAATCAGCAGAAGCTCTACGTCTTCATGAGCCTCTGGAACCTGCGGCTCAAAATGAAGCCGCTCCTGAACGGGCCGCCCTTTGGACAGCCCTGGTCTGAGCTGAGGACATGTGCACGTGTAGACGGACGACGTGCACTGAAACTCCAGATTCATCGTTCATTGTTCCACGTTTCTACAAATATTCTGCTAACTGAGCAGTGAGCTCACCCTGACTGTAGTTTCTACTTTTTACCCCTTTCAAAATAAAATGCCATGCAGAAACAGACGCAGGGGACAGAGTTCTTTTGTTTTCAGGAGTTGAGTCAGCGGAGTTATATCAGAAAAAACAGTCAGGAAAACAACTTGAGGCGTCACTCACAGGTTTCTTTTATTTTGAATATTTAAAATGGCCGCCCATCCCAATGAAGGCTGAAAGAAAAATATAAACTTAAACGAGAAGACACGAAAACTGATGAAGGTTAAAGTTTGTACATGTTGGAACATTCACACTGCTCCAAACACAGTGACATCATGACCCCTGACCTGACCGTCACGGTGTCACATGACCCGTGACCGTCAGGGGGTCACATGACCCGTGACCTGACCGTCACAGTGTCACATAACCCCTGACCGTCAGGTCACGGTGTCACATGACCCCTGACCTGACCGTCACGGTGTCA